AGGTCGAGGAGAAATGTTTCCGTTTTCGGGTGAGTTTTTTCGTGTGTATGTCATTAAGAGAGGGCTACTTCACGCTAGCCCTTAGTTATATTCATTTATTAAATCAATATCATAATTAACCTATACCTTCCCCTCACCGCGAATGGGGTCCTCTATCATCTTCGCCGATCCACAAGGGGTCCGCGAAAACGCGATGGTTGAGAATCACTGATTTATGCCATCAGATTGATTGTTAGAAAAGGTATAATCATCCAAACCTGGTGAATTATCGTTAAAGGGGCCAGGCTCTGGAGATTTTACAAAATATAAATAAAAATACAACCTATAATGTTCAGACCACCTTTCGCTTTTAATGTAGTCTAGAAAACCGTGTCCACCTGACTTCGTTGGCATGGCTGCAGTCGTCCGGGTCACCAGTTATGTGTGGGCCAGTTGAATGGCAAACCACATTTTTATGTACTCTATTTACAAAGGACGCGTTGTTGGAGGAGTCGGCCAGCGCAGCCCGTAACTTCCCGAATGCCCGATCTGTCCTGTCTCGCGCCGCTCAATGATCCTTGCGCACGGCAAAAAGCGCACCGCGCTTCTTGGTGATGTAGAGTATGCTCTAGCGTGGACGCTACAAAGGCACGAAGTGCTTTTTAACGTAACCCCCAACCCCAAGGTTTTGTCCGTCCGTCCGTCCATCAGTTCGTCCGACCGTCCGTGCATTTTCCGCTAAGTTTAGCGGGGAAAATGACGGAACATGACCTAATATCACGTGACATAGACTCCAAGTGGAGGAATTGACGTCACGTGACCTATACGTCAATTTAGTTTCCCCGCTGAATTTAGCGGAAATATTGACGTCCGTGGACCTAAACACCAATCCAGCTTCTGCACCAAATTCGCAGAAGGAAATCGACGTCACGTATTCCGATGTCACGTGACCTATACAATAATTTATTTTTTGAGCTAAACTTAGGGGGAAAATATACGTCACGTGACACCAATTTCTTCCGAACCCTCTCCTCCCTTCCCCTCTCTTTCTCTTCTCTTTCCCCCCCCCCCTCCTAGGGTGTCCTCCATATCCATTTCGTCCTCCCCACCCTTTGCCCTCCCTCCCCACTTACCTACCTATGCTTCCTCCTTTCTCCCTCTCCCCTTCTACCCCCCTCTCTCCCCCATTATATTATGGTGCCCTCCTTTCAATCCCTTTTCTCCCCCTCCTTGGCCGTCTGACAGACCAATACAGTTTCCCCATTCCTCTCTCCTCCCTCCCCCTCCCTTTCTCAATCGCTGCCCTTACCGTCTTTTAGTGCAGTCTCCCCCTTTCCAGTTTCATCCCTTTCCTCTCCCTTGTCGCGTGACAAACCAATTCAGTCTCCCCCAAATTGAATAAAATATAGGTTCTTCATTCCCGGAACGACTGTTTAAAGACTTCTGAACAATTGCAACAATCACTCCTCAATACTCCATTTCAAACATTATAGAGCTGTAAAGATAAACTACGTTCCCAATTTTTTTCTGTTTTGTATTTTACACCCCACAGCGCCGTCTCGGGTATTAGTGTGTTGGTGGGGGGAGGCGGCTTCAGCTGGTTACCCCCCCCCCCCCCCCCCCCCCAAACCACAACCCCGAAAAAGGAAATCTGTCTACCCGCCTGGCTCCGGCATTACCATGTCACACAAAATTTCCACGTAAGTCGAGTTTTTCCTTCTTCCGCCCGTGGCCTTCACAGCGCAGTGCCGAACTTCTAAGGTGAGGCCTGTTTACACACATATAGAAGCGCTACCTCAGCGATATTAGTCAGCGATTGAAATCGCTATACTCGGCGACAACTTTTCTTGGCAATGCAGTGGAAGGTACGTCCCGCGTCCCCTCTCCCATTTTGAGTGTGCGCGGACTCTCCTCCTCTCCCCGGAAATGGGGGAGGAGGAGAGCCTGCGCACACTCAAAATGGGAGAGGGGACGCGGGACGTACCTTCCACTGCATTGCCAAGAAAAGTTGTCGCCGAGTATAACCTTGCTGCCGGAACACTGACCTCGCGCTATATTAAAGCGCGGCGTCAATGGCAAGTTACGTTTAAGTCAGCGTTGTTGCTCTGTTGATGTTGCGCTGGAATGTGGTACAGGGTGCGACCGTAAGGACCGACACATTTGGCACGCCTTGCAAAATTCAACTTCCAAACGTACATGCAAGAAATTTGGCACGCGAACGTAGTTTCGCAATAGGTTTTATACATATATATGTTTAAGAGCTCAAGTCAATGGTGGTAAAATATTAAATGTAGAGCAAAAACGGCGGCCACGCATTTCCTATGCCCTATACCGCATCTTTGTCGTCTGCACACTGTTTCGTGAGCTTGCTTCCAGGAGATCATTGTTAATATATTTCTGTAAAAGTATTATTTATCGCGATTATCTCGCCCATGGCCAGCCTCTTCCATTCAATTTTTAGCTGGCAAGCCGGTGTGCAGGCGAAAAACAGGCTGATATAGGACATAAAAGATACACGGCCTCCAATTGTGCTTTATTTTTAATATTTCACTGCCTCCGATTTAAGCGCTAAGAAAAATAGACATAAAACTTCTTGCGAAACAATGTTCGCGTGCTCAATTTGAGGTACGCGCGTTTGGAATTCGAATTTTCTGACGCGCGCCAAATGTGTTGGTCCTTGCGGCCAAACCCTGTATATGTGACCCGGCTTACAGAGTACAGGGCGGGAATCTCATGTGATACATGATCGGTGCCTAGATTACTAGGATGTCTCTGGTAGGCACGTAAAAAATCTCCGGGAATGATAATAAAATAAACGCCGAACTGTAAGCTCTAATGTATGGCGCCCGTTTAATAGATTAATCTTCCTAAGTGTTCCACGTGTACGTGACGCCACCATATCTTTAGTTTACAGGAGGCCAGCGGCAATTAGGCGAGACAACATGTGCCGCCTCGAGTTCTGCTCGCGCACACACGCAGCGAGTGCAAAAAAAGCTAACTTTCCCTCCCAAATGCATGCGTGCAGCTACTGTGAAACGAAACAGGCTGGTCAGATCGGTCTATTATCCTCCGACTCCTGAAAATAATAATCAATAAAAGACTGCCGATCGTTTTCGCCGAATACTGACAACCCAAAGCCTAACATAAGCGAAGAAAGTCGAGGCGCAGAGGCGACTCCCGGAAAGCTTGTTTCTCTGTAAGCACTCAGGGCTAGTGGGGAAGCGAACTTCAAAATAAACGAAGCAAATAATTTTTATTAATTTTTTTCAGGTCTTTTATGGGTGTTTTATAATGAATATGTCGGGCGTCTAACACTGCAAGTCTGTTATGAAATAAATTTGCCGGATGAATGTTTAATTGTATCATGTTAGATGTTCTTAAACGCCAACACGCAAAGAGTGCCTTGTTCTCCTTGGGAGATCACTGCTTTGGTCCTAGTATGTTCGAATATTTTCAGAGAAAATCTCTGACTATATTTATCACTTGAATACAAACCAACCTTAATTTAAGACTTACCTTAATATATACTAACAACCCCTGACGTTTCCTAAGCAGGTAGGACTCGCAGAGGTTTGCAGCAGGATAAACCTTCCGGAAACCTCCGCAACTAGGAAAAGTCCCATAGCTTTAGAGAGGCTTCCATTCTGCTGGTTGCAGAAGTATTTTAATAGAGACGCAAAAACTATGAAGTTGTATATGAACAAAGTCACAAAGGTCCTTTACTTTAATTTTGTAAATTTTCTCCAGCGTCGGGGGCCGGCAATGGTGGCCTCGTCATCAGCTCGAAGTTTTCGTGTGTTCGGCATTGCCTGTTTCAATGGATCAGCGTCTTGGCTAGAAAAGTTAAGAACATAAAGCGAGGCTTTAACTGAAAGTCAGTTCAAGGCATCATTAAGTTCGCGAAACATTCTCTTCCCTCTCTTTCTGAATCATGCGTTGCTTAGAGCCCCCTGTTATATATAGTGCGCAGACGTCGAGAGGTCTAATCGTTGCGCGCTGATTTCGTTGGACATTACTTTTGAATCAAAATTCCGCAGTTGGCTACTCGAACCTCCATTGAAAACGAAACAGATTTTCTAAAGTGCGTTGACACGCGGGCGTGACTATACCCCAGCGTCATAAACATCTGAATGACAGTACAAATATAGGTTCCTAACACATTTCCCCCGAAACGGGCGTGTATTGTCAGTCCGCCTTTGATAACAAAACAGCGGAATTACACATCGAATGTGTTGTCCGTCTGGACATTATCCTGAAAGAGATGAAAAAGAAAAATACTATGCACAATGAAAAAAAAAATACAAATTATAAACAAAGCGTTCCAAGGTTACCGCAAAGTTTCTAAATAAATTCCTGTCCTAGGAAGGAGAAAGTCATCTTACCTAATATGCTCCCCCCATCGGCTTCTAAGTAGAACAACCGATGCACTTGTGATCAAAGGTAACTGAAAAGAATAATAGATGAAAGAAACACGCCCCAGAAAGAAAGGACGTTAACTGCCAAATTAACTCAAACGATCTGGGGTGAAATAACAAAGTTGAAACAACGTGATCACACACAGAGGCCGAACTGATCAAATGAGACCGTAAGGAGACTGCGCGGTTCGGTCTTCGTCTAATACAAAAGATAACTCATGTATGGACTGACATGCCTCAATTTCACCTCGATCGAAAGCCAAACAGAGGCGGTCTACTCCGATACGAACCCGGTCTCATTCCCCAAGCAGTCGGACGAGACCGGGCGCAGCCTCTCCCACGAACCCGCCAAAAGAGTCGGCGGCGGCGCGGTGGCAAGCGACCGGCGCGAGCAGCAGGAAGAGCGTCGGCGGCGCGCGTCCCGCCGCCGAAGAGCAAGAAGAGCGCTCGGCAGCGCGGGTCGTTCTCGCCCCGCGTGCAAGAGACCCTCCCGCGGCGCGACCGCTCCTCCTCCGGGCGAGCTTCCCCGCCAACCAGCGCGGTTTTGCACGTCAGCCACCCCCCGCGCGCGCCACGCAGCCGCCCGCAGCAGCGAGCAACAGGCGCCCCATGCCACCCCGCCGCCGCCGCCGCCGCCGCCGCCACCGTCGGGGGCTTCCATCCCACGCCGCACTGCGGCGCCCCCGTCCTCGGCGGCGACGGCCGGCGGCGACGGAAAGCGCGCCCCGCGGCACTCCTTTCCCCTTCTTTCCGGGCGCGAAGGGCGCGAGCAGGCCTGGCGCAGGAAGCCGCGGCGGCGGGGAGGGGAGCGCCTGGTGGAGGGGGTCGCTGGGGGAGAGGCGGCTGGGCGAGGAGGGGCGGTGCGGTGGTGCGGTCTCGCAGACGGCCGATTCGGGCAGAGCCCGCAAACCTCAGAGCGGCGAGTGCGCGTGCGCACGGAGCAGCGGCTGCTCCGTTCAATGCATCTGCCGGCCGAGCGGGAACCGCACAGGCAGCAGCAGCAGCCTCAGCAGCCTCAGCAGCATCACCGCCGGCGCAGGATGAGCAGCGAGGTGGTGCTGCCGGGCGAGCGGGCGCTGAGCCAGGTGCTCGCCGAACACCCCGGGGAGCTGATGCGCACGGGGAGCCCCAACCTGGTGTGCTCCGTGCTGCCGTCTCACTGGCGCTCCAACAAGACGCTGCCCGTGGCTTTCAAGGTGGTCACGCTCGGGGACGTTTGCGACGGGACCCTGGTCACGCTGCGTGCGGGTAACGACGAGAACTACTGCGCCGAACTGAGGAACGCCTCGGCCGTGGTCAAGAACCAGGTGGCCAAGTTTAACGACCTCAGGTTCGTCGGCAGGAGTGGAAGAGGTGAGTGCCCACGTCTCTTCAACGCGCCATCTCTGTTGTGCTTCCTTAGGAGTCCGAGGGCGTCACCGATGACTTCCCAAAGTTGCCGAAGTCGGGACATTCCCATGGCATTTTCATTCGATCTCTTCAACTTTGTTTTTCGTTGGCCCTTTCATTAGAAACTTCAATTTCGATCGAAAATGTGTGTGGCTGGTACCATTAAATTGTCCTGGACACCATTCCGGAGTCGGGATATCGATTACACTACCTGCGCGAATATCAGAAAGTTCTCATCTCGCCAGGAGGTTATAACTCGGAAGGATTAGCGCCTTTGATAAGTACCCGCGTTGCCGCGCATAAGCGTGTCTGAAGGTTTATGCGGAGCCTCATTTCACTGGAGAAGTCCTAAGGACCTTCAAACAATAGCGAGGAGTTCCAATGAGAATTTCGAATGTGATCATTCACCGTGGACTGTACTCTTTTTAAGCACCACTCGAATTTAGTGAGCAAGTTATAACCACGTCAGTCTTTAGTAACTCAAAGACACCTATCAACGGTCTAACCTATATATAATAAATGCGCGACATCTTGACACCATATTAACTATCTTCATTTTTTTGCGTATGTAGTTTTACAAAAATAACACATACAACTGTTAATAAACACTCTTGAAAGAGCCATGCTTCTACGAACTTCTTGCTGTCTAAAACGTAACGAGGCACTTTGCTCACTTTTCCAGAAGGGCTTTTTGCGTCACGCACGTTGCCTTCTCGCGCAAAAAATAAGTTGACTTGAAAAAAAAAAAAAAAACTTGTCCGCAGCGAATTTAGCTTAAACTGGTAACTAACAGAATAAATGCCTCTTTCTAGATCTTGATTCAGAAAGTTTGACGGCCGCTTATGTATCACCGTAATGAGTCAAGACATCGGGAATAATCAAAGGGAACAGCATCAAGAGCACGCGCCCCCAAGTGTTTTGGTGCAACAATTCTACATCCGTAAGTCTGTACCATTCGTTTGCTGAAACTAGTCACTGGATCGTGCGGAAGTAGCGCCAAGTTATCTGTGTGGTCGACATTTTTGTTCATGGAATGAGCAATTTTTTCTTGACCGCTCCATTCTTGGTAAGCCAATCTAAATTCGTTGGTGACGGGTAGCTTTATAAAGGCGTTTCTTGTATACCGAGATTTTGCCACCCACACACCGGCGAAACAAGGGTATGCATCTTCGTACCGCCATCACATGCAGTGTCAATGTCCAGAGTCATTTAAAAATAATTTGATTGTTTTGAAATGCACATACAGAATAATATAATTGTAAGGGATTCGTGGAGATGGGCATTGTGACTGATAAACTGATTGCATACACAGTGTCAAAGAAGCTTGTGTTGTCGAGGACCGCCTTCAGTACGATGGTGTTCCATGGTGATCTTGGCGCGACTGGTTTAGAACGACCCTCTGGTAGCTTCGAAGATTTGAATAGACCGAAATGGTGATTTTCATGGCAACGGAGACCGATCATCCAATTGCTTTGTGAGGGCTTGGGCGTCTGTATGTTCGTATCTGTTCGTGTCCGGCTAGCAGGCAGGGAAGGCAATGGCGCTACTTTCCCAGGACCGAGTGACCTTAGCTGAAACGATACCAAATTATGAATCTAAAGCCGGGGTCACACTGTTTATGCCCGAGTCCCACTAGAGCGACAAACAGAAACAAACGACAGTGACAAGCCTTAAACACATGCAGCATGCTCCCGATGGTACCCTTGGCAGACGTTTAGTCGTTCGGTGCTGGTAAAGTAAGCACGAATGATTGGAAGCCTGCCGAAGATACCCTCGCGTCAATGATGCTCGTGTTTGAGCATAGCCTCCTTTGTTCTAGAAAGCCTGTCAAATCGGGAAAGACTCTGGTGTGAGGCTTGTCGCTGTCGTTTTGTTTCTGTTTGTCGCTCTAGTGGGACTCGGCCATTATACATCATAGAAAAGACAGTCTGAATACAGATTTAAACACGTGTAACAGCGAGATCCGTGCTTCGAATGCTGCATGGCGATGAGTTCAAGGAGAAAACTTGGCACGCGGCATTCCAACCACGGATATGGTGATGACTCGTGTTTGCAAACTGTCTTGTGTATTATGCATGAGCAATGTGACCCCGGCGTGAGGTCACACGTTTCAGGAAAACACCGCCCGAAGCGAAATGTTCATATCGCATGCGGTCGAAAAGCACTGAGCAAAAACGTGTACGCAGAAGTGTACCAACGAAACAAACGTCCTAGAGCTTAGACCCAATTTTCATTTTATGTGCGAGTGAAGCCGAAACTACAAGCACGAACATATTGATCTGAATGTTAGCACGCGTGCTGAAAGGGACGCTGAATGCCCTGAGCTCAATCTTGTAGCTACATGGTACGCTGACACGTAAACTGAAATGGAGTATATACCCTTACTTTGCGTGCATTCCCGTCAAGATGTATAGCGAGTTTTATTCGGAATAATCTGTTGGGAACAAACGGAGAATCTTCGAAACGCAAACACAGCCATATGAAGCAGTTAATTATGTAGAACAGCGCCACAACAAGGTGTTCGTCTTAAATATATGCATACTTTTGTGTTTATTGCACGTGTGAGGGCACACACCGTAAATTAGTAGATTATTTGCCATTATGGCAGAAATACATTGCAATGAACAGATGGTTTGCCATATTAAGAAAAAATAAATAATAGGCGCGTTAGCCGACTATACCTGCCTTTTCCGGAGTTTTAGTAATTGCTTTTTCGTGGTATGAGGCTTGGTTAACGTTATGTCATCAATTCAATTTTTAAATACCCTCCAGATATTAAAGAGATGTTTTATACGGACCATTTTTATATACCCTACTTTAGTGCATACTATCATATTAAAGGTCAGATTCACACAGTGGTATTTCTTGATAGCTATAGCGTGGTAAAGAGGGCATTAATGGCAAAGATCGTATTTGACTGGTCCACGTTTTGTTCTATAAACGTATATCTTAACTTCCTGGAGTTTTCGTGCAAGCCTGAGACGCGCGTGGTGTACGTTTGGCAGGTATGACTAGAATTTGGTCTGCAAAAGTGAGAAGTTCTCCTTCTTTTTCTTGTCGTCATCTGTCAATACCTCAGCCTCGGGTTTTTCACTAAAATGTTTAAAAAAGATCACCTCTTTTTTCCCCTTCTAACCGCTAATGTTTCCCACACAACTTTCGAAGTTTTGCCGGTGCCTGCTATGTCGAGAGCAACGAGTATTTTTACGCACAGCCGTCCTTGAGAAAGATTTGACTGTCAAATGTACCATAATCAAGAGCTTATATGTTTCACATGACAAAGCCTCGTATCAAACACTTCTGATCTCAGTGTTGGTTCTATACCGCTCAAGAACCAAGAGTGGCACCTCTTGGCCGGCTTGACAGAATCGGCGTCTCAGCAGAGGCTGTGTCGAAGAAGGCACTGCCGAAGAACGTACGAGCAATGGTACGAGCTAGTGGCACGTGAGGTCCAGTCTCAAGCGCTCGCGCGCCCCAGGCTTGGCAGGCTAGACCACAGAGTATTTTCTTACACCGTGGGCTAGCCTAAGCAAAGACGTTGATTCTAGCAAGCCGGTCCTTGTTTTATAGACCATTCAGCCACTGATTAAGACGAGACGATTTCTTCTTATCGCCGAGAAAGTGAGGGGGCATCAGAACATCGAGTTTTCGTTTGAATAATTAGTGGGTAGACCTAAAGCTAGCTGGATTTGTCTCCAATGCAGTCATCGAGCGCGTTCAAAAGGGAGAGTCAAACGGCGGACGCCAGCGTTCCCAGTCTTAACGCGTTCATCGAGCCTTCTGCACGTTCGTGTCGACTGCGTCCATTCCTTTAAGACTGGTGTACGCGCTTGATTAAAGCCCCACTATCGTAGGAAAAGTGGCGCCATTCATTGTTGTGGAAATACTCGAAACACGTGCCGCGCGCCACTTGCGGGAAGAACATGTCGTCCGAAATCTAGCTACTCTAAAAAAACAAAAATTGGGTTGTGTGTATGTTTATACAGCCTAGAACTTGGTCTGCCTCAACGGGCGACGAGTCTCCCAGCTTTAGATGAGCAATTTAGCCAGTGCAGTACAACCGCGAGCCTGGGGTCTTTAACGTGCATCACGCACTAGTGATACACGACCGCACGCCGGTACGATGCTCATCCAGATCGAAACGGGCAGGGGTCTAGCTACTCTAATCTAGCTGAGTGCTGCGCTGTGCCGCCATGATCTTCCCAAGGGCTGCACTTTGCACTTGCCTCGTGCATCGACGAACCTTGCGCTACTTTTAAAACATGAAGGGGCTTTACGTTTGATGTCATTTCTGCGCCCCTGCTACTAGTGTTCTTTTCCCGAGCCTCTCGCACGTTCCTGCATCTTTCATGTTTTTAACGTATAGTACATTTGAGTAGTGGGTTCGCGCTTACCTGTCTTCTGCGTTTCATTCTTGTCCCTGTCCTCGTCTTTTAGTGCGCTATTTTCTTCATCGTGTTCAACCCGTACCGACTCGCCCGGCTTACCACCTAACAGCAGTGGAGACAAAGGAAGTTCGCTTTAGATCTTTCCACTCACCGTTCGAATCACAGCTCGGCGTTCTGACGTCCCCTCTCGCCTCCTCCTCTCCCTCGATTTCTCGGCGCATACTCTTAAGGTCGCTTTGGGACTGCCAATATGATGCAGCGGGTTACTGGTATGAATTTCGCCACACATGTAATTTCCGCACACATTTTGTTTGCGTCTTGTTTCGGGTGATTCAATCATCTCGAGGAAGTTCAATATACATGTACACTGCTTCGGGATTAACTGTCCACATACGGCCATGCTTGGGTGCGTTGATTAGCGCACGCTAAAGGTCTGGTCAGTAAAATAGAAACAGGAGGAACAGGCGAACCTTAAGTGAGCCAGGAGTAAAGAAGGGGTAATCCTCTGGGGTAATCCAGCCGAGCCAAGCTGAAGTTGTCACTCCAAAGGTAAAACTACTAACCGCGTTAATCTCA